TGTAAAAAGAATTTTCTATGATTACAGTAGTATAATTCAAAACAGGACTTAAAATTTCCAAAGCAGAGAATAATTAAAATGAAGTTCGAAAACGTCTGAAACGATTGCATAAATTGGTACTCCCATTTAAGGTGCGAGCGTCTGGAAGACGAATAGTGATCATTTAAGGTAAAAGATGGCCACGTGGTTGAAGTAACGGTAGTGAGATCATAGAGCCTTGGGTACTTTTCCTGTCACCCGAAGCGTGGAGCGTACCGAAGCTCGGCTGCGAAGAAAAAGAGCTGAAATGCTTAGAAGTGTGAAAAGAGTACTCACGAACGAGAAAGTTATAATTGGAGAATATGCAAGGCTGCCCAGCACATTTTGAACATGAAATTGGGACCTGAAACTCTGTAATTATGAGGCTTCATGGCAGACAACTGAAAAGAGACGCATGCGATGAATACCGTGATATTGTCGAGCAAGATTTAATGATTCAGTCACTCTCTTGGAACTAATTACCTAGTGGCTGTGACAAGCTAGAAGAATTTTCCAAAAAAAGGTGAACTCTTTATTTAGATTTAGATTAATCACTCGTTCCTAAAATAGTTATTTTCTAAATAACGTATTCATTCATTAACTTAGGGTACCGACTCGATAGATAAGTCGGTTCGAAATCCCCTTCAACTTCAAATTACACATACCACTGCATTGTGTTGAAAGCAAAATATTTGTTTGCTGTGCATTCAAATGCTTATGTATATGTATTAAATCACTGAATAGAACTATTCACTGAATACAATATTTCTCATATTCATTAAAATAATTAATGCAAAAATAATTATTAAAATCATTTTTATATTATTATTATTGTTATTATTGTTGTTATTATTGTTGTTAATTATTGTTGTTATTATTGTTGTTATTATTGTTGTTATTGTTGTTGTTGTTGTTATTGTTTTGTTATTGTGTTGTTATCTGTTGTTGTTATTATTGTTATTATTTACGTGCAGTATTGTTGTTGACGTTAAAGTGGATGCGTGAGTAAGAGATGTTACAGTGTGGGATAAAGGAGCGAGATGAGGTGTATTGCGCCATGAAATTATAGTTTTGTAAAGTATTTTTGTTGATGATGGTGTCGAAGGGGATATGGTGAATGTAAAATAAGGTTGCCTGCCACCATATTCCATAAATGAATTACAGAGTTAGTAATAAATCGAATCTAAGTTAATAATATGTGAAGCTCTCGCAGCTGGGATTATTTGGACATGACGAATAATAATAATAATAATAATAATAATAATAATAATAATAATAATAATAATAATAATAGGTGTGAGAACGGAGGTGAGTGCCGCCCACGGAAGGGGGCAGGAATCGAAGAGCTTTTCTGCAAAGAGACGTATTTCTATGAAACGCATTTTTACTTTCTTGCTACCGCTTACACAACAGAGAAAGAGCTCTGTAATGCAAAGCGAAATAACGGCATTTTTTCGGCAGAAAAGCTCTTATTACAGAGCCATGGTAACGAAAATGGGGATAAATTCAATTGCTAAATTGAAAAAATCCCCTAATACCTGGTGTAGCCAGAATCTACCTTTTGTAGGTTGTTTATACCGAAAAATCGAATGTCGGCAAAACGTTTGCCTGTCCGTCCGCCTGTGAACAACGCTAACTGCTAAACCGTTCAGCCGATTTTCTTCAAAATTGATATTCCCTAATGAATCTGGCCGATGTCGAGGCCCCTTTAATTTGAAACAGATACTTTAATTATAGCGGGTACTTTTCATTAAGCTCCTGATTTTTAATTTTTTTTAAAATGGCTCCATCGTTTTTTTTATTTTTTTGTTGGGTAGTGTGAAGGACGTTTACGAGAATGGTACAGGTCTTGTGAAGATAGAGATTTTTCTCTTAATAAAATATTCGTATTTAAGACAGATTTTGAAATAATATCATGTACAATTTTTCAAAAATTTGATAACTGTTCGCGTAATTTTGTATGAAAGTACATGCTGTTTTAGCACCACTAGCTTGGGGAAGGGAAGGTATACAAATTCAGCCTTATTGTTCAAGATAGGATGCCATTGTTATTGAATTGTATTTAAAATAGGGAACCGTCATTTTTCAACACAATATGTAGTAAGTAGCCTCTGAAGAAGATACAGAAGGGTTTTAAAAAATGCATACACGCGATCAGCAGTTTCGGGGCCTCGACGTCGTTTGGCTGCTAAGCGGGTGACTTTGAACGCGCGTAATCAACTGAAATAGCAAGCAAATCATAGCCGTATGTCTCCCTGCTCCAAATACGTTCACTGTCAAAGAATGTATACATTTTTGGACCGCTCTGTATTGATACGTAACGTAGAAAAGAAACGGAAATGAAGATATGTCACTTTGGAAATAAGCTCTTCAATTTACTCAATGTTTTGAACATCAGTGAGTTTGCGACGTCAGCCAGATATGAGTTCATAGGTCGACTGTCCTGAGCGTTGGCTTCCCTGACGACGAAATTCAGAGCTCCCCTTGTGCAAGAGACCGACCGGTCGCCTTTCGCCACTGGATCCCTGGTTCGAAGCTCGCATGAACCTTACAGAATTTGTGATGGACAATTCGGATTCCAGGGAGGTTTTCTTGGGGTTCTCCAGTTTCCCCGCCTCTCAATTCACATTTGATTCATAATCATTCCCACCATATCATCACCCATCCATCAAAATAATTTTTCTTTAAATTTGTTGAAAAGACGAGTACGTTCTCAGGACCGTAACAAACCTGGGCGTCACCAGCACAAAATTATCAGGGAAGGGAGTTCGGGGAAGACGATTTAATGCAGAAGTTGCAGATTACCCTTACGGGAGTCCCTTCCAAAATACCCCATACACCAAAACGTATAAAGAGACCGCGTCTCCTTCGTCGGTGACTCCCATGGTAATACAGAAACGAACAAGACACGAAACGAGCCCGGCCTTTCTATTTCATTACATCCACTATCCGGTCTGGGACGACGTGAGGAGTAAATTCCCTACTTACCCGATCATCCAGAAAATGTTGTTGGGAAAGAAATTTACTTTTGAAAAGATTGTTTAATATGAAATTAAATTAATAATATTTAAAATAGATTTAGGCTATTTTTCGTTAATGAATTTGAAAACCTTCGGTCTCGAGAGTTCTGTTTCATTGGAAAATCACGGAAGTTCTGTTCCTTTCCAGCTCCTGGAGAAAGGATGGAAAGGCGAAGATGTCGGGCATTTCGCTGGATTAAAGCCCGCGCTCCTTTATGGCTCCCCGAGTGAAGAACGAATGACGTTCTTTGAAGTGCCCCAGTGAAAGTGAACTGCATTGCCGGACTTTGAACGAGGAATCGAAACATCACTCCAGGGACAAAGGAGAGTTCATCGGAATGAAGCGGATTCTTCACCATGGAAATTATGACTTTTGATTACTCTGCGTAACAACGTCGAAGTCTCAGGACTTCGAACCAGGAATCTCGAGTCAAACATGTATATTTGTTAAACAAATATGCAATTCTCACTCGTTCTTTGCTTCACGCACACAGAATACAGCTCGGGTGGTATTGATAGTTTTGCAAGTGAATTTTTTCAGCCAATACAAAAGGTGGACGTAAGAGACGAACAATTAAATCCAAAATATTCGTTGATAATACATGTGTAACAGCCTCTTGCTTGACGACATTTTCCCCATTAATAGTCTTTTCAGATATGCTACGACGAAGTTTTCAGATGTTCTGGATAAATGAAGAGACACTTTTTTCAGGGTAAATTCTTTCAAAAGTATTCAAGGGTGGGAATACATTAAAATCAACAGGAGCTTTTACGAAATGAAGAATAGACAATATCTTGAAAAAGAAATTCTTTAATGAAAATTTCTAGGTCCTAACGTAATGCTTAGTACATACTTCCCTGCCAAACCTAAGATGCGTTGGTCGTTTCCCACATCGTCTCCTATCTTCGGAGGTCGAGGTATTTATTTCAAAGGTACTGACAAGTTAAAAGTATAGAAATTGGTCTCTAGACACAAAGAAATGCAGAGAAGTGAGAGCGTAGGCTTCTGTGGCCGGAGTCAGTATTTACTTGACTGTCCGGGTGACGCCGCGTCCATGGCGAAGGTGCCGACGTTTCGGTCGCCATCGCGGTCGTCGACCGAAACGTCGGCACCTTCGCCATGGACGCGGACAGCCAAGTAAATAAAAAAATGCAGAGAAGCATCTTAAACATTATTCAGTTGGACAATTTTCTACGGAACCTAATACGTATCGTTATTGTCGGTAGATTAAGTTAAATTTTCTTTTTTTAGAATAAGTAATTTAACGAAACAACTAAATACAAAAGTCTACGAAACAAAGGTCTTCACGATTGACAACTTCTGTTGACAACCTTTTTCCAAGCTGAAGGAATTTTGATGCGTTTATATTTTTAAAATTTACATGGTATCAAAATACGGCGGTTCATTTTTAAAGATTCATCCTGTAATAGAGTTTACTATCTTTCTCTAGGAAAATGAATTTAAAATACTGTACGTTGAAAGAAGTGTGGCACATATTCATAAAACATCAGTAAATACCTCCCGAGTTGCACGAAAATAGAAATGTATATTTGGAAACAAAATTGAAATGAATTCAAACACGGCTTAAACGTGCAGTTCAGTCAACGGTTCTGAACTATGATTGTTACACAAGTGGTTGTTGAGGATGGTAGTCTGTTTTGCTCTCAAGAAATGAAAAACAAGACAAAAATTCTTTAAAACCTGTTTGCGGGGCACCGGGTGCGCAATGCGATGTAAAGGATCCTGCAGTGGCCGATTGTTTCACGAGTTCATGATTCCTAAACGTAACACGACAGTAAAACTGCGAGTTGTCTTTAGGTTGGACACCCTTGGTTCCTTCAAAAGGTGTACGCTTTCGAGGTGTCCGAGATAAGAGGTATCCGCTTCCAGGGAAGCGAGATTGACGTAGAGGGGCTGCCCTGCGGAAGTGGCCATTGTATCGACAAGCTCAGCGTTCTTACCTCGTGAGGTGAAGCCGAATGGGTTGCCGGTGTCTGCGTAGACGAAGCGGCTTCTGCGTCGGGGTCTGGTCCGCGTTCTCCTCGGCTGCAGCGCGACGGGACACTGG